CCATGTGAAAAGGTCAGGAATGATCGTCTTCTCGTTTAGGGGTACAATTCACAGACTACTTCTCACTTAGGGTATTCAGGACGAAACGCCACTATTGCTAGCCGTCAAGGTATCTTTCAGGGTTGCACTCGAAGAAACAATAGAAAAACGTTGGCATGTCCGTTTTTTTTCAAAAAAATTGGTGTGTTTTAGGGGTCAAACAAGGCTCGAGCCGCGCCCAGATTGGTCCTCTTAAATGGTTCAATTTTATACAGTTTCAAACAAGCATCCCCGACCTTTTCACAGGGGAGTCCTGCCGGGGGAGGACTACAAGGGACATGGCTACCGTGACGAAATGTCACAGTACTCTAACATCATTTCACGGTCCTTTGCTCGTAGCTGGGTACGGAGTAATCGGATTTAGTGACGGACCAGTAATCTCCGTGATGCGTGTTACGCAACACAGGATCTTCACAGATGGTGACAGATATTTTTTAGATCAAGCTCTTTATGCGATTGGCTTTACCCGTGTTTAAAGCCGACATTAGTCAGGTCAGATCAAAATGCCATGAACCAATAGACCTTTCCTGCATTTCAATAAACAATGGCACCGAGTCGAGGTCAGGGTGGACAAAAATCCAGCAAATGTTTGAAAATGTTCACCCCAACCTCAGTCCGGAGCTATTGTTCGTACGCACGGAAGTGGAATGCGGGAAAGGTCTATTATTAAAATTTTTGAAGAGAAATTAAATATTTTTACAACAGTGAGCTACAATGTATTGCTCTAAACGTGCCTTTGCAGTTGTAGTTTGTAATGTGCTGTATGCTGATGGCTGGTCAGAACATATTGAAAAGAGAGTGAGGAAGAAAATGAACAAATTCAGAGCTCTTATTTTTTTATTTGAAGAGAAAATTTATCAATAAATCATTAAACAAATTTGATCAATGTTTCTCTTGTGTTTACAACCCCTTCTCTTGGACTAATCGGGAGTGGCCTCCATTTTGAGTTAGAAGGACCGCAAAAACGAAACGGAGGAGTTTAGGCCAGCTTTGTGTTTTAGGGTGGACGGAAAACATTTCGATAATGATGAGATTTTCATGCCCCAGTTTTCCACAAAGATAAATCTAAAATGACCGCTGATTGTTGCGTGCTGGTCGTATCTTGGGTTACAACATCTGTTATTAAGAGATAATTTAACGAAGAGAGGTTGTGGGATCGTTCTGTTAAAGAGGCTGGCTTTCTAAGAAATCCCTTTTAAATTCGTCAAAGTTATCCTCTTCGATTGACGATCGAATCCGCGCGAAAAACTGAGAGTATTCGTGTAAATTATGTCTGAAAAATAAAACAAAAACCGAAGTTAGCACACGTCTATAAGGAGAAAATGCGGTTATAAATCAATTGAGTGGATTGTTTACAACCTCTCTAGATCATGAATGAGTAATATATTACTAAGTGAAACTGTTTAGAAGTTACCTTGGCTTAATAGCTTTCATTTGATTGGTCACACAACGAGACCGACCGAAAGAGAATTGGCGCAGAAGCCCATACATGGAAAGAACAGCACTAGGTTTTAAGTCGAGGAGCGAGGCAAAAGTGGTTGCAAGTGACACAGTCGTGGCTCATTTACCCCTTGGGGGCAAAGGCTTAGTTAAGTCAAATAGCTCAAAAGATAGTCACACATGGGAACTAAACTAGTGGCTTATGAACTTAAAGTGGATGGATTCAAGGTTTGACTCCGGCGGCATAACGGTTACTGTGCTAAGCAAGGTAGTCAACAATAGACCGGGTACCTCTACTAGTTCACCGAAAAAAGGTCGTAGACGGCCCACACTCCATGAGATTTGTCGCTAAAAGCCTGGCCTACGTAGGAAGCGTTCCCGCGCGAACGAAAGAACACTTCCCTGGAATTTCAATTTATCCGTCGATTTTTTACTCTCGCCCCAATTTTCGCCAAACCAGAAGGCAAGAAACTCTTCGTTCGTAAAGGAACTTGCTACGCTCGCTTGCCGCGCAGGCTACCAAAAACCCTTTACGAATGGCATCTCTGATTGGGTATTTTCTGATTTACCGTATAATTAACAACCAATCAGAGACCCCACACGCACCTCCGTAAAGCTTCATTCTAAGAGAAGGATTTTTCGTGTCCAATCTCAATGCGTAAGTGCGTATGAGGAAAACTTTGTCAACTCAGCCTACCCTGTCATGCAACCTTAGTGTTCTCGAGGGCAGGGTTCATCAAATCTAGTCCACGATTTTCGAGTCTAAGACATCTTATATCAAATGGTGGTAATGTACTGGAGTTGAGCTAACTAACTTACGTCATCAGAAGAACTTTAGCTAGCATTTCCTTGGTGACAAGCAGATGATGAACATACGCCCGCGTATGATTTGTACAGCAGTAACATGTGCAGGTACTAAAAAGTGGAGTGAAGTCTGAACTATACCTGAATGAAACAGACAAAACCAAACACAGAATTTAAACGTTACTTGTATCGAGAGAAAATAAAAGTAACTAAGATTAAAAATATAAAGAACGGAAGTTAATAATAAGAATTTAAAAAGGAAGAAAGATGGTTAAGACTGGGACTTAGTTCTTGTAACCCTTACCTAGGATGGTTAAGATTCATTTCGTATAATGTTCCTTCATCCGGGAGCTCTTTGTTATGTGTACTATTTGACACTTTGTTCAAACTGTTCTCTGAACTTTTCTGCTCCGAGTTTAACGCCTCTGGAGTAGAAGGGGAGTAGTTAAGCTCAGGTTTAAGTCTTTTTCTGCTCCAGTTTATGTCCAGTGCACAACCACGATCGGTTACTTGGTAAGGATAAGTACAAAACATTAAGGAACATTGACCAAGTACAAGAGAACATGCCAAAGTGAAACATCTCGACTATGGCTCGTGGTCCATTAGCAAACTTTTCCAGTGGATTTTTTTCGCTGCCATCATTCGGGTCGTTTACACAACACACAGAGAAGCGTTACTTGAAGCGGCATAATGTAACGCTTCTCAGAGTGTTGTGTAGCGATGCAAATAATGGCTGCGAAAGAAAGAAACCGATAGCTCTGCGCTTTGAAACACCGCTTTCAATCGTCCCCCAGCTTAGTGGCACGTCTGCCTTGCGCTGTTACCGCAGGTAGTTTTGAATTGTACAACACAAATGAAAGAAATTATACCCTTTTCATTCTCTTGTGCTTGTGTTTCAATTGTTTCACAAGGGTTCAATTGTTCGCAACATTTTTAGTCCAAGTGAAACGCAAGCAGACAGGTCTCATCTGTCATCATGGAAAACGGATATCCACTGCACCTGATATTTGCACGTTCCCGGGGGGGGGACTTCCATATAAAAAGGACGGGGATGTTCGCCTGAAATTTTGAAAAAATCCCTGAGAGGTGCAAAGATCATGTTTTGTGGGCGTGACATAAATTTTTTTCCCTAAGAGGCACCAATTCTAACACAGCACATTAACTGACACTTTCATAGTTTTTAGTAGCGATAAAGAGGATTGCTTCGAATACCATCTACTTATAAAGTTGATTGTCTAATATCTCCTGTCATTTTTTTTTTCGGCTCAATACCCTAAAAGGTACTGCAAAAGCTCCAGCTGTGGACCTTTTGAGCCTTAACACCCTAAACCATACCAAAACCGCTTTTTTTTAACCCCTAAAACGTACGACAGGCACCCCCATCCCTTTTATATTTGGGAGTCCCCCCGGTGCATTATGTGGCATGCATTGTCTCTAGGCAGGGAGATCTCTTCTCTTTCTTCAGTGAGCTTTTGCACCTGTGTTTGCTTTACAAACGTAAATCGGAGCGCTCTAAAGAATTGTGTGACAAAAAAAGCGTGTTTCCAGGTTATAATTGCATTCACAGGGTTAGAAATCTTCACCAGAAAGACAGAATGATTTGCCAGTGAAAGTATAAAATTAAAGGATATGATGAATCAAAGATGTCAATTCCACATTCCACAGCTGAAACTACCTCTTCTGAAAAAGACAAACGAATCAAAAGCAGCTATAAGGCCAATGATAAATTAATAACAATCTCAGTTCACCGCCTGCAAACATGGAAACAGCAAGTCTTTCATCTTCCCGCCATCCAGAAGGGCAGGAAGATGAGAGACCCTGGAAACGAGGTTGACTAAGCAGTTACATTTTAAGACATTTCAACTAGAGTCAGTTGACATCTATTAAGTCAAATTGCAGGCACATTTCAGGAAAAAGAAGTTGCAACACATTTCTTCAAATAACTTATCAATACTTCAATTCAATGACAAATTTAAGGCTCTAATGTTTCATGTACAAAGTATCTCGCTCTAAGCACTGGACAGCAATTTAATGTAAGCTTACCTGGACTTCCTATTCCATGGATGAAGCGTGGTTTATCATCCAGAAGTAAATCCTGACATTAAAATAATCCAGGTTCTGTTAAACTACTGACCTAAGTAACATATCTGCTTAAAGCAATTGTCTTTACTAATAACTTTGACATTTAGCTGAGCTCAATAACTGTTTTTTAATATAAAACTAGAGTAATATGATCTAACCATACATAGTAAATAAACTGGTTAGCCAACTTGGCAACAAATCAAAGGAATATCACATTGTGTGCCGAGAGGAATGTAGCTGTAACTCTTTGTACACCTGGCGGGCCTATGGTGTTTACAGTTTAAACAATAGAAATTAGCGAAAAGTGAAATCCAGATTCTCAAAATGAATACATAATTTGCATAAATTCATCATGTTTGAGATGACATCAAGCAAAAGTCTGCAAATGGTCACCACACTCAACACAATTCTTTAGAATTATTTACACTGACCACTGTTTTCTGCAAGAGACTACACCAGTTACGTGTACTGGAGCTGAATCCCTCAAGAACAAACCCTGCAAAGGCAAAGCATCATCATCTTAGTTAAACGGTCCAACCATGTGTTGATCAAACTCTAAAGGTAAAGAAACTACATTTGTGAACAGTTGGGAAGATATGCTCTCCAGATTACTGAATATGTTAAACCCAAGCAGAGAATAACTAGACAGTACCATCCCATGAAATTCACACATTTCAAACTTCTCAAGTTTTATATTAAAAACCCCTGTGAGCAAGACTTACTAATTCAGCTTTTAAGAAAGAACTATACCCGAGTGGAACTCACTTCCTGCAGAAGTGATATACCAACTAAGTGCTGCAGCATTTAGGGCCAGTCTCGTCTCTTTTTTTTTTATCTCAATAGCGATTTAGTTACATTTACTCCCTATGTTTTTCTCTTTTACATCTGCGGTAATGGGTAAATCCCTTTGCAGATTACATAATTATATAGATGTAGATGAGCAGAGTAGGTCTGTCACAACTTTCTTTTATTAAACAATAAGTCCAAAATAGATTGAGATCTGACTGTATTGATTTAAAAAATGTACCTGGCAATGTTTTGTTTTTGTTCAGTACCTGCAACTGGTCTCTGTGAGGTTTCTTTAGCAGATCGTATTCTCTCTTTTTCTGAATTAGATCCTTCAATTACTCCAAGCATATTACATGATGTCAGGGACTGAAATTGTAAAAAAGAGATTAAAAAGACTTTTTTAAGTCACTATATTTTAGGCTGCATTTGAAACCCATCTGCTATCAACTTTTACTTGATCATAAAAATTAACCTCTATTTTAAAAACTAGACTACAAGAAATGAAAACTGGGCAGGCTCAATCTCACTTTAATGTCTTTCACAAACAAAATGTGGAAAGCAAAACAAATAAATGCCATGTACACATAGTTTTGAAATAATTTAAATTAGCTTCTTTGTACACAAGCAGAACTGAAAACTGCAGCATGGCCTGCCACTTACCAACCTTGTTGCGTCCTCTTTCTTCAATGAATTTATCAAGAAACTTCAAAGTCCGATCAACGGATTTACGAATTCTTTTTTCAGTCTGTCCAGAAGCAGGGGTTGTATCACAAAGACATTGAACAATATCAGGCTTGAATACCTCAAGCACTGTTATGAACAGATTCACATCTATCTGAGAATTGAAAAAAAGTTTTGTTAGAACTTCAAGATAAAAATAATTTACCTGAAGACAGATCAAACTTGTGAACAATTTCTCAGGAAATTTGCCTGTTAACAACATAGGCATGCAAGGTGTCCAAAGAGCTATGAAGCTGTTAGAATAGCTCTTTTCACACACAGCAGATCTATGATGCTAGACAGTCAAGAATAACTACTTAACTGATTAACTGAGAAGAAGGTCTTTATGGGAAAATCTCAAACCAAGATCTTGCCATATTGACCGAGCAATTGCGAGGTCAATATGGCAAGGCCAAGGTTTGAGATTTTTCTGTAAAGACTGAACGTTCGAGGTTAATAAGTTGTTTCTTATTTGAGGTTAATAAGTTGTTTCTTATATGGTTTTTTTGCTTTGTTTTTGCAAGACCATAATTGGCCCGTGGGCATTACTGGAAAATAATGCCATAGAATTAGCCAATCAGAGCATGGGATATATCAGCTACAAATACAAGCCATATAATAATAATGATATTTATTAATTTGTGGTCTTCACTATCAGTATTTTCTCTTTGCCTTGCAATTTATTGTGTTAACCATTTTGAGTCCCTTCTATTGGTGGTCAATCAGTAGAACTATTCTCTCCAACGCTTTTCCTGCATTTCCTAGAATTTACCTAAGGAAAATTTATTTTAATTCATATTTGGCACTTTTTTCTATTAAAGTGCCTATGAACTGAAAAATAATTGGTGCCTATTTGAAAGGCTTTTCAAAATACAGAAGAATAGCATTTTCCGTTTTTGAATATTTTTTTTCATTTTAGAGATATACTGAGGTTTTTGTATTATGCAAATTAGGAAAGTGATGGCGTCATCAGTTGTGCAGCTAAAACAGTAAAATATTGAATAAAGAGTATCTTTAGAAATATTGGAACAGTGTTCTTCAAACATGGCACCAGGAATAAACATCACAAATGAAATAAAATGACCACCTGTAATGCTGTTGCCATGGCAACTCTCTTGGCTCCAGTTCCTTTTGGTCAAAAACCAAATATCTCCATTTGCAACCCTTTAAGGTAAGACAGAGGATCCTACTCGGAACACACATGGTTCCCATATTGTCTTAACCCATTGACTCGACCTGGAGCTTTTTGCCAAAAACACAATTTTTGGACATTTTGGAGATTTTCAGGCTGGATATGGGCCAAATTAGCTCCAATCTATTCAAAAAGGCATTTGCAACATGGCAGCATGCCCTTCTTTCCACTAGCATTGCATTTTGGGACATTTTTGCTCGGGCATGTGTAGAAATCAAAATTTTGAGGCTTTTTTTTGTTTTTTTATTTTTTTTTTTGCCTTTCCTTTTTCTCCTTTTCTTTTCTTTTTGCTGCAGTAAATGACCTTCTACTGGGCTTGCTTCCAGACTAACACATTCTGAGAAAGCATCATCGAGACGGGCAATTTTTGCCATGGAGTAGCCACGTGTAGTGGCAGGAAATTTTGCTCTGAGTTTTTCACTTGACTAGCATTGAGCATTTTTGTGCCTTTCTCAGGCGCCATTGGGCCAATCACTCTGATCTGGGTATCATTGGAAAGATCTTTCCCTCCTGCAGAAGTTGAGCAAAGATGATGCCAATTTTGGTCAAAGGTGATGACGTCAGAAGTGGAAGAAAGGCCAAGGCTCGTCATGGGCAGTTACGGCCGGCACAGGAGTCAATGGGTTAACTCTCCTCATTACATTGCTAGGAGTAGATGATCCTTACTCAGGACAAAAACTGGAAATTTCAGTTTTAATTAAGACAAGACCAACGACATAGCTGTTGCCATGGCAACAGCACAACAGGTGTTATTTCGTTTCTTTGGTGATGTGTATTTCTGGTGCCAAGGTTGAAGTACACCGCTCCAATAGGGGGATTCATGTTGACGTCATTGTTTACATTTTTGCTCATTTGCATACGCCTTTGCATACAGAAGGAAACATGTTAGATATGAATTGACTCCAGGCACCTAAAGAGCTAGTGAAACTTAATACAAGGTGAAATTTTTAGCTCTTTGGGTGTAATATTCAAGGAGATATTATCTTTCAAAAACTGCAAAATTTCTGGGTTGCAAAAGCACTACTGAGCTCATGCATTCTTTGTAAAATTTTGAGTTTTTAAACCCGTGCTGTACAAAAAGTATTCAATACATCAGGCTCATCTTCTTCAGCAGAGTTCATCGTACTATGAACTTTTTAATATTCAGAACTGATTTATTTGTAGCTCCATCAGGAACTGAATTGCTTCTGCTAATGAGGCAAATATTGTAAACAAGGATTCCCTTATATTTCCAAGAGTTGCCATGGAACAGCATTACAGGTGGTCATTTTATTTCATTTGTGATGTTTATTCCTGGTGCCATATTTGAAGAACACTATTTCTCAAGATATTCTTTATTCAATATTTTGCTGTTTTAGTTGCACAACTGATGACATCATTACTTTCCTTATTTGAATAATACAAAAACGTCAATACCTCTAAAATGACAAAACATGTTCCAAAAAAGAATACGCCATTCTTCTGTATTTTGAAAAGTCTTTCAAATAAGCACCAATTATTTTTCGGTTCATAGGCACTTTAAAGTAATGAAGTTGTTAATATCTTCTATTGGTAGGCATGGGGTGTAGTAAAAATGTTTAGTCTGTTGGATNTAAACGGTACCAGTTTACTGGCCGTGACATGCCCCTGCAAAAATCAAGCGGGGTGGCCATTTTGGTGTCCTTACAGGAATGTGTTTTTTTTCGGCCTAGAACCGTGCACAGGGTGACCAACTCTGAAAAGCCACAGGTCAAAATTAGGTTTGCGTTCCACTTTGTCGAACGCAACTAGTCAACCCTTTAAAGCGAAAGCAGTGTAGTATGTGTGTTGGGGTTCAATTTTACCCTGGCTTAGTACAATTTATTTGGTGTTCTCCTTTGTTCTGGTGTATGCCAATATAATTATGACTATGAATACATTTCACCACAACATATGTGCACCCCAATAAGCTATCTAGTCCCCCTTCACACTCTCCCAGCAGTAGGATGAGAACAGGCTTTACCTTCATTTTTATGACTAAACAGAAGAATTAGAATTTACTGGTTCTTCCTTTCAGTTTAACCATGTTTCTTCAGATAAGGCTTACAAGCCATACACTGGACGCAAATCTACAAATACTCAATATATTTTTTTATTATAGTCATCACCTTTTTTCGTCCACCTGGAGTCCACACAGACACAGACTTCTCTTCATTGTACCCCTCACGCGTCTCTTGAATTGGATCTTGTATTGATAAGTAGGAAATGAAACCCTAAAAACAGATGAAAAACTTGGCTCTGGTTCTGGCCCTGGTAATGGCAATGGCAATTCACATGTAAATAGTGCAAATTCCATTGTATGTGTTCAGATGTGTTTTATCTAAGAAATAGAAAACATGTACCATGTTTCTATCGAGTTAAAGAAACATGAGTGAAGGTTTGGGAGAATGCGAAATGCTGTGGGAACACCAGCTGACAGCTGAGTGTTTCCATAGCTTTTTCGAGTTCTCCCAAACTTTCACTCGTGTTTCTATTAAGCAATTAGATTATGAGCTCAAGATAATTTTCTATTGCATGATACTTGATGAGGTCACAGCCCGAGTCAACTACAATGCATAGGAATTGAGAATGAATAATCTAATTGTTTTAGTATAAATCTACTAGTCTATCAAAACTTTATCTAAATCCTCTTCACAGACACTTTGAAAACGCAAAGAAGCGGCTGCCAGTTCATTCACAAGCGCACACTGGCAGCTACACTACTCACTATCTATCACAGAATAGATAGTGAGTAGAGTAACCAATCAGTGAACGGCATTTGTGATAGAACGCTAGCAGATTTATACTAAAACTCAATAGAATCACGGTACATGTTTTCCATTTCTTCTAGAAAATTCCATGCCAAAAAAAGAAACAACTTGTTTTCTTTGATCACCAAAATGTAAATTCTTTTTTTCATTACATGAGCAGCTTGTAGTAGTTCTGTGTTTCTATCAGGTTTTAGTATAAATCTACTAGTGTTTTATGACGAATGCTGTTCTCTGATTGGCTACACTACTCACTATCTATCCTGTGATAGATAGTGAGTAGCGTAGCAGTGTTTGGTTTTGTAACAAAATCACGACCGTTTCTTTGCATTTTCAAGGTGTCTCACTCTGTGAGGAGGATATAGATAGAGTCTTGAACAACAAGTAGATTTATACTAAAACAATTAGATTATTTGCTCTCAATTTCTATGCATGATAGCTGACTTGGGCTGTGCCCTCGTCAACTATCACGCAATAGAAATCAAGAACAAATAATCTAATAGAAAAAGGGTTTTAAACCAATCAGCATGCATATCTTCTTTGGGCTCTTTTCTAAAGGACATGTACAACTGAGAATGAAAATAGAGGTCAACAGAAGTGATACATCTGACAGCTTCTTTCAGTTCATATTGTTGTCATCTTTACCTATCTAGCCCAAATGTCAATTAAGCATGAAAAGTCAGACCACTAACATCAAGGATGTGTTACCCTACTCTTTTCAAACTTTAGTGTGGGGGCTCTTTACTTTCCCCAAGTGCTGTGTTTAGACAAGGGTACCAGCTTAATGCCCCCTTCCAGAGATGTAATCATTTGGGCTGAGACAATTTTCTTTATGAACATAATACTTTCACTTCTAAATCAAGTACCCTACCAAATATATTTAAGCTAATGCACTGTAAAATTGTTCAGTTCCAGAAAATATCCATACTCCCCCCACAGAAGGGATTGGAATTTCCTGGGGGGTGGGGGTTCTGTAAGATTAAAAAATGTAAAGAAATGTATGAAGCTCAATCGGAATTTCCAGAGGGGTGGGAGACAGATAAATTCCCTTCCGTGGGGGAGGTATAAAAATTTAGCTTTCCAGGAATATTCCAGAGTTTCTGGTTCAAGCACATGTCCAAGGCTATCACAACATCAAGAAATTGTCCTTGATATAAATTACCTCAAGCCCCAAGAATTGTTTTATCCCATCATAGTTGGACTGACTAATAACATCAGTCCCTGGCTGATCAATTCTGAAAAATTAATCCATTCAGTAACCATTGAGACAGGTTATTCATGTTAGTTTGTGCAGAAGTAGTGAATGTTTGTACATTAAGTGTAACTGCAGTTGTCAGACCATGAACAGAAAACTTTATGGCACTGTGTCGTACATTGTGAACTGAAATGTAGCCTGTAGAACAGGTGGTTCATAGAGGCACAAAGGTTCATAGAGGCAAGAATGATTCAAAAAGAAACATTTTGTAAGCTTTCTGCAGAAAGCACAAGTAAAGGTTGGTTTGTCCTTGTTATGATTGAAATGGATATTATGTCAGTCAGTGTACTATGACTGCACATCACAGTTAACCCTAACCTAACTCATAGTCCACTCACAGAACTTCTGTTTTCTATACAATCATCAAGTGTGTTAGCAGAATAAAAACTATGGGGGATCAAATGAGCACTAATGCAATGGGTGGGGGCTGAGTAACCAAAAAAGGGACAGACAGTCTATGGACTTCATGCTCTTCTTAGCTAGCAAAATATGTCAAGGTTTACTACCAACATAAGTCTGTATACAAGCCAAGTGGCCCGTCAGGATGGCGCTTAGCTCTGTTTTCTGTAGCATGAAGTGACTAGGAGTACTTCTACTCACCCCTGGATGGGATGCTAATCCATCGCAGGGATACCCCACCATTAAATTTACTGGTACCCATATTTTATTATACACCTAGGTGGAGAGAGGCACTGTGAGAGTGAAGTGCTCTGCCCAAGAACACAACACAGTAACGTGGCCAAGGCTCAAACCCGGACCGCTCGTTCTTGATCCAAAGGCAAGCACACTAACCGCGAGGCCACCGCACCTCCACAACGTGATTTTATTTAAATTATTTTCTACACGTAGCATTTAGAGTAATTTTTGAAGCATTCTCATACATTGTCTTATAAACGGCTAAAATTTTAACGCAATCGCCAACAGCATAATGTCACATATTAATCGTATTCAACGTCTAGGCCGCCTGTGTGCTAACGTGCCTCATATTAACTTAAAGATCAAAGCTGACCACGCTGGCCTCTTTATCAACATGACCACCTCAAACGTCACTTTTTAGGTAAACTTGCTATCACAACAGACCAGCAATCTTTGTACAAAGATTACTACTCCAAAAATAACAATTTGCGTGTTTATTAGATGAAAAACAAAATAACTTCATAAATAGCTAAATACTCACATGGTTTGAAGAGACAAATGGACCGCAGGTGGAAGATTCTTGATCGAACGCAAAACATCCGAGGTAAGATGCGGGATGGCACCTCCTCGAGTATACAGTGTACAGCTAGGAGTCTGGACTTCGAGACTACCCAATCTAAGAACGCCTATGCGGCAGCGTCTAAGCTTTTTGCGAATAGTAAAGTTCATTGTTCACAGCTTTTCGACATCTGATCAGAAGGATTCCGGGACTGCAGAGAATGGTATGTCATGTAATTCGTGCATTCTATACTGATTGTAAAGGACATGACAGTAGACGTCCTAAATTACCAGCTGACGGAAGATCAAACTACAATAGCATTAGATCTCTTTACGAATGGAAAACAGAAAGGCTAGACTGAAGAATTATACGAAGTAGACCAGATTTTAATTTCAAAGGACACATTACAATAGAGTTACTTGAATCTTATATCGAATTTTTACCGCTGACCATAAATTTTATTAATTTGATTAAATGACCTTGTAATCTGAAATCTCTCAGGCAACGGCCGCGTGGCCTAATGGATAAGGCGTCCGACTTCGGATCGGAAGATTGCGGGTTCGACTCCCGTCGTGGTCGAATTTTTTTTTTCTTTAAGAAAGTTCCATTTTTTGTCCTTTTATCGTTTCCTATGTGTCTTAGCATTCCACTTTACATATAAGAAATAAAATATTAAATCGCATGTAACTCATCATCTATTCCTTCCTGAAACGCGCCAGAAAACCAAAATTTGCTTTACCATTTTATGTTATATGAAATAAAGCGTAAATGTAAGAGTAGCCTGCGTAGCAAGCGTTCCCGCACGCCGAGTAGCCTGCAGAACAGGCGTTATTTTTTTGCGTATTTTAGGCGAACAGAGGCGAAAGCGAGGCGAGCGCGAAGTGCGAGCCTCTGTTCGCCTAAAATACGTAAAAAAATTACGCCTGTTCTACAGGTTATAGGAGGAGCTGTTCCTTATTCTGGCCGAGCGTAAATTTGAGCGAGGGCAAATACTCGACGAAGCAGAGACCACTCTCTGCTTCGTCGAATTTTTGCTCTCGGTCAGAAAGGGAACGCTTGCTACACTGGCTAATAACAAAGTACCATTCAAAGTAGTAAGTTTGTAGCATCCCGCGTGATTTCCACAAGTGATATGATTAGCTTTACTCCCTCTCCATGCGGTACATGCAAACTCGCCCGTGTACTCGCCTCCAAGCGGACATCAACGCAAGTCCATTTTGTCGTTGCCATGAAGGTATGTTTTCTGCTCCGAGTACTTAGCACAATACGTCAAGATGATGGCGAGTTCTCGCAAGCGTGACGGCGTAAAATTGAGCGAAATCAAAAAGGGGTGGAAATGGCTTTGACAGGGCTTTGAACAAATTACCCAAGACTGAACTTCACACGCACGTCAGGAGTGGAAATGGCTTTGACAGGGCTTTGAACAAATTACCCAAGACTGAACTTCACACGCACGTCAGGACCGTCCAGTTCTGGGCCCCATGTCACACAACGCTACTCTCACGGCAGTGCCCCGCTGAATGCTGGGGGGGGGGGGGGGGGGGGGGGGGGGGGGGCTTGCTATGAAGGGTTTGAAAATTGTTNGGGGGGGGCGCATGCTGGCTAAGACGATGAGCCGCCCCTAGCTACCTCTGTAGACATTCGTCCAGTTATGACTTAAACTCGTTATTTACTGCGCCTCTCAATAACATGCGGACTCTAAAATTCAAAGCTCAACCGACAAATACGTTTCTCGCTACTGTCAATCAAATGATCGGCGGCTCCTGGCAGCTTCCGAGTACTGCCGAGCGCGCTGTAATCAAATCAAATCGTTGAGCACAGTTCAGCCAACGTAGTCGGAAGCTGCGAGGAGCTGCCGAACATTTGATTGACGGTAGCGAAAAACGCATTTGTCGGCTGAGCTTTGAATTTTAGAGTCCGCATGTTATTGAAAGGCGCAGTAAACAGGTTATTCTAAAGAAACTGGGAAAACTTAGCGCAGTTCAAATCCACTGGTAAGGTTTGCCACCAGAATTGACCGCCGCCAACGCACGGTTTTTTCCCAGTTGCGCAGTGCAAAATTATTTCCTTCGCAACCTTTTAATGCGGTCTAAGTTTCGTTAAACCAAAACCAAAGTTATCACTCTAGGCAGTCACAACACTCATTAGAAAACCGCTCTACTACGCTATGCGTTTAGCTTTAAAAACTTGCCCCACTGAATTTTATCCAATCCGTAGTAAAACCAAACCCAGTCGTGGTCGCACACTTCCCGCGTTTCGTGTTAGCTACATATATTTGCTTTGCTTTGAGTTTCAATTGGTTCACTGGATTACCTATGTCCTTTGTAAAACCAAAACCAAACTAATTACTTACCAATTACCAATCTCAAACCTTAGTTAAACCAAAACCAAAGTAATTGCCTGATTGCTTTCGAATATCAATATAAAAGCGCTTTAATGCAAATCACAGCAAGTGCGAATTACTCAAGTAAAAACTGCTCTATATTTGGATGGTTACCAATGACCAGGCGTCATTCAAGCCAAATCTAACCACGCTTAACATTGCACCGTGTATAATGGTCAAAAATTTAAAATGTGGCAATAATTCTTCCAGGAGATGTTTCCACTTTCTCTGAGAACGTCCTCAATCAAGTTAAACAACAACACGACATTCCTGAATCTGTTTTATTCTTAGCCTTATCACAAAAAATGCTCGAACTTCCAGGGGTGAAATGCCTCACCTCTTTTAGGTCGAGAAAGCCTAATAATAATAATAATAATAATAATAATAAATTAACTCATCGCAAGCCTCTGTACAAACATTCCATGGACTAATTTACAGTGTTGCGGCAATGAGAACAACAATTAGGAAGAAAACGACTACGCGAGTATTCCCAAAGGGAAGACCTTTCAAACTGCTAAGATTACAAACACTTTCATAATCAATTGTACGATAATATACTTTTCCCAGTATGTGGTTTGTACCACAACAGCAAGTTCTCGCTGGGCAGACAAATAAAATAACCGAAAATATCGGCATATTAAAAAACGTTTTTCTTTAACTTTTGTTGACACTTAGTGGTGGTACGGCTTGCGCATTGGACGTTTTAGCCTGATCTGAACTCTTGGGGCTTGGAGATTCACTAGGCTGGTCCGGAACTATATTTTTAGCTTCTTTCTCTGGTCGTCCAGAGATCTTGGCTTTGTTAGTAGGCATAGAACCCGGCATTCGTGGAGGGCCACGGGGCCTGTTTGGCCTGTTCCTTGCTGACATAGGTAGGGGCTGAATGCGAACGAGGCTACTGCTCTTGTTAGCAGCGCCTTTACCATCCTGCTTTATTGCGATGTTCTTGTCTTTGCTGCTTTCTTCTGGCTTCGAGTCTAATTTGGTTGTCTTTGACGTCTTATTTGGTTGTTCAGAACTGGTTTTTCTGTTTCTTGGATTAGCTTCTATATTGTGAGATTTAGTTTCTTCTTTCTTCTCTTGTGGTTTCTGGTGTTCTCTTGGTACTTGTCCTTTCACGGTTGGTTTGTCTTCTTGTAAGCTGATGACAGCTTTTCCTTGCTGATCAGCTTGGATGTTCATTGGCAAGACCCGCTGCTGTTGTTGCTGTCCCTGTTGCGCAAAGAACATTCTTGTCTGTTCCAACATCTTGTGATGTTGTTCTATCTTGAAGGCAGCCGCCATCGGGTCCTGGTGTGGCAAGGATTGAGGCGGCATTGGTGGTCTGTTTGACACGACTTGTTGTTTTGTAGGCACCATTTGCGGTGGTGATGCCGTTTGCCCATGAGGTCCACGCGGGGTTTGCATTTGAGGTACTCCATGCATTAAGGATGTCATTGGGCGCTGGATCGGGGCGGGAAATCGCTGTGCACTTGTTGCACTGGGTTGTGTTCCACCAACTCCTATTGTGCCAAGGCCTGGTGCACGAATAAGTTGCCTTGGCATCGTTGCGGCCATGACAGCGGGATTTGGTAAAATGGTGGCTGCAGCACCTGGCAACTGATTTACACCTTGCTGTTGCTGCTGTCCTTGAGCTCTAATCTGAAGAGTATGCTGAATACTCACTGGCTGCTGCTGAAACGGAGTGAACTGCTGTGGCTGCACTCCTTGAGGTTGCTGTTGCACTTGAAACTGACCTAATGCTGCATGCTTAGGAAAAGTTCCAACAGCACCAGGAAAGGGAACACCTGGGTCAACAGGTGACATGGACACTGGTCTGCCTGAAATAAGGGATGTTGATACTGGGGGACTCTGAGATGATCCTCCAAGTTCTGGAGCGCTGGGCCGAATAGCCATCAAGTTTGGATTTCGGGCAAATGCTGATGACACCATAGGACCAATCGCTGTGTTGCTGGATGGCGCAGAACCAGGAGTTGACCTCTTTGGAGGTTCAAAAGGCTTGGCATTAACATGTTTCACCAATTCAGACTGCCGGTTAAAATCTGCAATTTGTTCGGATGTTTTCTTCATCTGCACATCTTGTGAAACGTCGTACGTGCCTTGCTTCTGCTGGAAAGGGTAAGTTCCTTGGAATGGCTGGTGTGTTGATTGGGCGGTTGGAAAACCACCCTGTCGTGGCACATTCTCTCCCACGATTCCAGACTGAGCTCCCAAAACATGTCTCTGAGTGGACTGTGGGTGCTGGGTCGGATTAAAAAGTGGTGGTCCCCCTCTTAATGTTTTAGGATCAAACTGCATGTACATGGCCTGTGTCCCTTGAGGGTTTACAGTCTGTGGAAAGACTGATCCACTCGCAGTCTTTGGCTGCTGACCCTGAATCCCCATCAACGATGTTGTCTGGGTCCTTGCTGCAGAGGTCACAAACGACTGAGTTGTTGTGGAAGGCAACAGAGCAATGGACACGAAAGGTTGAGATCCCTGGAAATTCCCTGCCGAGTAGACACCACCAGCCAGGAATGGCGACTGGTACACATCTTGAGTAGCTTGGGACAGGGGTGAAGATGACGACCGCGCCTGGTTTACTTGCTGTACATGGGTAAGGGGAAAGGTTGGCGTCACCTGTTGATTGGTTTGTTGAAGCTGTTGAAGCTGCTGTTGTTGTAGATACGTTTGTCTCTGCTGCAAATCCACAAATTGGCCGACAAAAGGAAATGCATAGCGTGGGATTGCTTGCTGATGAAGCAAGTGGTCCTGTGCTAACAAAGGCTGGTTTGATGGGACAGTGTTCAACTCAGTTTGACGGTTCTCCTCCGTAGGTTGAGGAACAATGGACGATGACTGTTGAGGTTTAACTGGCTGCTGTTGTTGCTGTTGGGGCTTCACTTTACAAACATTTTGCTGCTCCCCTGATCCAGTTTTCTTGGGAAAGTTTATACCATCAGGAGGTTTGGAATCGACCTTAACAGAATTGCTTTCCAATTCGCTTTGGGATTTAGATACAGTAACTTGATCATCACTTAGCCTCGACTCTGTAGACTCCACGACAGACATACCCACAATCGATGAACTAACACTCGCAGATGGGCGCAAGGTCTCCTCCCAAGCAGCCACCGGATTGCTTGCACGTCCAATACCAAGCCCACCTTCCCAAAGTTTCCTTGATGCTTCCATCTTCTTTGTCATTTCAAAAATAGCTGGTGATACTGGAGATGGCTCCCGGTCTGGTCTGTCAGCGGTTGGTCTTTCGCGAATGTCCACTGAGAGAGTTCCTGCAGTGAATAGGTTGTCCGTGTCATCGTTTCTCTCGACAGAATCCACGTTCAGATCAGGTTCGGAGTCCTTTCTGCTTGATTCACTTTCAGAGTCATCTTTTACATCTTGCTCCTTGAACAAAAAAAAAAATCGATTATCAACTGCCTATTAAAGGGGCTAGGTCACGCAATTTTACGCAATATCTGCACTGATCAAATGGTCATAGAAATATTTAAAATATCAAAAAAAAGGGCTCAAAACTATAGAAGATCTCAAATAAAACACTGGAAAGCCAAGAAGGGACATGGATGGACAAAATTGGAGAGGATTAAAATGGATTGCATTTGGGTAAATCTGAAAAACGTCGGGCCACCTTTTTTCAAATTTATATCAGTATATATCAAAATGTCATTGACAGAGCTGGAAAATCATTCTCAGTTGTTATGTGGCCGTGATTTTGCAAATGAACGACTTTTGCTCTGCCAATCTGACGTTTAGAGCTCATAACTAACAAAATTAAACAAAATTACCTACAAATTAGCGTGACCTAGCCCTTTTAAGCATAGCTTCGATTCTACTTAACCAAAGGGTCACCACAGCCGAGCGTTGTTGTTGTCGAGTGTTCACAGTTATGTTAACTGTGCAAATGTTTTGCTCACGTTCTGAAACTGACAGTTACTAGCTATTAAGTAGTTCAAGTTTAAGTTGAACTTGTCGGATTCTTCATATGTGAATGTCTAGACAAAAATTAAAGGAGCCAAAAGTTTCCTTTCCACTTTCTTAATAAAATGATATCAAGGACTTTACCAACTGATACTAACACACTTACACCCCAGTGCGTTAAATGCCTTCTACGCAAAACGAAAATCCGTTGCTAATTGTACCTAACACAAAACATTTAACAGTGCTTAAGAAATCGAGTCTACAGTGTACATGTACATCATTCAGCCAACCTCGCTTTCCTTCACATCATCTTTTTCTTCACTTCCTTCATCAAAAGCATTTGTTACCATGTCTCCAGCAGCTGTAGTGTCATATTCCTCAGATTCTTGAACCTCTTTAGAAGCCTCTATATCATCCGGAATTTCACCTTCGGTTGAAGCTGACTGTTGCTGATTGTTGGATGATGTGACCATCTTTCCTTTCACTGCAGTACCCTGAAAGAAAATAAATGGTAACATTAAACTTGATTAATACTTCACATTTCTGATAGTATGTGTGCTGGACTCAAGCAGAGTCAGAGAACAGAGAACCTCTCTTACCCCTGATCCTTTAGATGGCTTCTGAGACATCATGTTGTCACGGCTGCTCTTTCTTGCCCTGGAACCACTTAACTGTTCTCTTTTTGTTTCATCTGAGCTTGAAGCAACTTTTCGCTTGCCACTTCGGTCAAATCTTGGTGGCTTTTCACGGTGAGGTTTAGGCTGTGATCTTTTCTCCGAGGAATCACTAGTCTTTCCACTTTTCTCCGAAGTTTGGTCTCTACTTTCTACTTTTGGTTTCGTTTTAGGAACAATCTGTACGGGTTCCTCGTTCTCTTCTGGTTCCTCTGGAGGTGCCAGTAAAGCAATTTCCTTCGTCATGGCAATATAGTCATCTTCTACACTTATGTCTTCAATCAAAGAGGCAGCAGAAGAGAGAACTGTTCCCTGATGTGAGCAAAAACAGAACATTGCCAGTTAAGTCATCATCTGCTGGCTTCTCCACAGAATGAACTACAAACAGCGTACCTGTACAAATTAAACTCACTGGAGGCAATCAACGGTCAATGTTATGCAAGCCCTGTTTAACCTTACTAACACGAAAAAATTCCTTTTGAATTTTCGTTCAAGGGAGGTGTTTTGTTACGGTTGGTAGATTAGCACTGATTAGCACAAGTGCTGACACTCAATCAGCGCCCTCTTGCTACATCACTGTCTGGTACAGTAAGTGGGACACCTCTAACAATCTACAGTATTCTCAGGTCCTTGGTCCTTTAAAACAAGTATACAAAACAAGAGGTACTACACAGGGAAAGAAACAATTAAACTCACCGGTTGGACAGGTCGTGTAGAGGATGGCTTACCACTTCCAACTGCGAGAGGATCAGGAATGGAAGACGTCACCACAGGAGTCACACCTGGTGGTTTGGCAGGGGTAACAATGAGAGGTTTGTCCCATGCATTAAAGACTGGAGGTGGCGGAGGTGACACTGGTCTTTCCACAGTAACTGGGCTGTTACGCTTGGTGGAATTTGCACTGGACGGATTGCTGTTCGATCCTGTAATAGTAGGTCCAATGCCTGCCTCTGAAATAGCAGTGGATGTCACTTTTCCAATTATTCCAGGCGCTTTACTCTGAGTGTTGGCCTGTGGCATATGCTGCTTACTGAACCTTGGAGGCTTTGATGATTGATTCTTTTTATTTCCCGTTTGATTACCACGTTGCCTGTTTTGTTCATCCATCTTTTTCTTTCTTTCTTCTTCTTCGCGCTGCCTGTCTTTGTTCTCTTTTTGAGTTCGACGAGATGTTACTTCAACAAAGCCACTGAGAGTTGAAGAGATGTCCGAGTCATCATCAGTCATGTCATCAATGCAGATGACTCCAGCAATGTTATGCAAGTCAAACTGTTGAATATCAGTCTTCCTTACAGGAGCTTCTTGCTTTCTTGGCAATTTGTTCTCAGCAACCCCAGTGTTGATACTATCCAGTCCAGTACTGTAAACATGTCCTTGCATGTCCAATCTCCGGTTCCCATCCTTGCTAAAACCATTTCTAGCAGCAGGCAAAGGTGCCCGAGGTTCCCCACTTGCAAATTTGGAACCTTCAACCTTTGCCTGCTGCCTTTCCACTAAAAAAGGCTCTCGTCTAGATGATGTGTTGCGTGTCCCGCCAGGTTCTCTGTTCTTGTCTTTCCTTGTCCTGTCTGCCGAGGAGCGTGGAGCAGGGAAACCTCTCCGTGGCGCAGACTCTCGTCGACCTCCTGGCTTATCACTTCTTAAGGACGAGCTTTCCTTCTGGGTATCACCAAGTTCTTCATCCCAGTCCTCTGTAACTGGTATACCTGGTCCTTCAGGTGATTCTTTTGGAAGTTGCTCTCTTCTACCTCTACCTCTCCCCCTACCTCTGCCAGGACCACTTTCTCTTCCCTCACCAGGTCGCAACCCATGAGAAAGGCCTCTACCCATGTTTGCACGTTCCCTTTCCTGTTGCTTCTGGAAACGGGGTGGCCGTTCCACTTCTCTCCTACTTCTACCAAACCCACCAGTACCTCGCCCTCCAGCACGTGTTGACACCTTTCCACGAATAGGAGATCTTGCAGAACGTAAACTAGGTCTCGATTTATCAATAGCCGTGCCACTCTCCTTTCCTCTCTTTGTATCATTCTCTTTTTCTACATCACTGGACTTCTCATCCCTTCTTTCTTCAGATGCAGAGGTAGCAGTTGTGTAACTGCTTGTGTCACTGTCATAATCATCTGAAAGTTCTTCATCTGTTGATTTTGAACGTCTGTAGTTATTTCCAAATCGTCCGCTTCCTACAGGCTGATTTGATCTGCCTCCACGCATCCCTGTCCGTACAGGTGGCTTGCCAAAGCGGCCACGGGATGAACGGTAACCACCTCTTTGGTTCCTCTCATCTCTCTGCCTTAAATGTTGCTGATCATTATCCTTTACACTGTTCCTTTTCGTCCTGTCATCCTGAAAGGAACGCCTGTTTCCAGAGTCCCTGTCATCGTGTTGAAACTGGTGGGATTTCTGTTCCTTTTCCCGCCCACCTCTATCCCGTCCTGTGGATCTTTGGTTTGTTTGGTCTCTGTTATAATTTCGTGCAGGGCGCTTTTCATCATAGTCCCAATCACGATCTCTGCCACTCTCCTGAGGTGTTCGCCTCTTATCAGTGAACTTCCTGCCTCCAGGTCGTTTGTCCTGATTGCCTCCACTTCTAGAATCATGTGAATATTGACCAGGCTTTCCAAAGCCACCACGTCCCTTTGGTTTCGTATCACTAGCTTCTCTACAGCTTTCCGTTTTCTTTCTTGCATCATCTTCTCCTTTTGATTTTTCAGCATCCTTGTCAGGTACTTTTGAAGACAAGTCTTTATCTTCCCCAACTTTGCTTCCATGCACCAAAGAATTCTCTTGGTCCTTCTTTTCCTCAGCAAGAGGCTTTTCTTCTCTCTTTATGGGCTCCTTGACATCTTTTTCAGCTTGTGAAGAACTACTTTCTAAAACCTTTTCATGCTTAACGGTGATAGCAACGTCATGAACTTTCTTAGCATTCTCATTAGGAACAGTATTGGTGTTCTCCTTTGCCACTACAATTTCCTTGTCCTCTTCTTTCTCTTTCGGTTCATCCTTAACAGTTTTCACAGGTGGTGAAGGTCTTGGTTCTCGTGCTCTGGTTGGTTTGCTTTCCTTGAAATCTCTACCATCTCTAACTCCCCTCTCTCCTCTTCCACGACCTCGATAACTAGTAGTATTACCACCAGTACCACGGCCATGGCCCCGTACAGGGAAACTAACCCTACCATGACCATGAGATTCTGAAAACCGTTCACGTTTTGTTTCACCACGACCAGCGAATCTTCCCCTTCTCTCAGGCAATTGTCCTCCATCTTCATTATCATCACGCTTTCGTTTTCCCAGGTCTTTGAAGTCTTCACTACGTCTGTTATCCTGCGGTCTCGTATCTCGTTTTGAACTACGTCTTTCTTCTCGTCTGTCTCTTGCCTGGTCTCTTTTCTCAGGAATAGGCTTTGATGCACTATCAGGACTGTCTTTCCTCTCTCTTTTTTCATGTACCCTCTCCTTTGAAGCCACATTTTCTTTGTTAGATTCAGAAAGCCGTGGCTTGTCAGAGTCACTTTGTTTTCTTTGCCTCGTATCACCCGACCTGAAACTTTTAACCTCATCAAACACTGGCATGTCCTGGTCATCTGGCTTCCTCTCCACTATATTGCCATTTGGTCTACTAGTTTCAATAGAACTCTCTTTTGCTTGTTCCTCAGTTTTGTCTGACTTGACAGGCTTATCAGGTGGACCAGGGGGTGTTCGCTTTTCACTTTCTCTATTTGGCTCACCAGTGCCACTTTCAAGCGACTTGACACTTGCTATATCATCTCCAGCTGTGCTACTACTATCAGAGCGTTTCATTATTCTCCTGACAGGCTGATCAGGTTTAAAGGGTTGCGAAGGTGAAACAGGACCTGAAACAAAACAGGAAATACTCATACATGGCCTCCCATTTTGAGAAAATAACATAAAATAACATAACCTCCTTCTGCCATGTTGTCGTTTACATTTACTTCAAACTTTTACAATTGAAGTTTTAAAAGACCAACACATATCTTTATCACCAGTCCATGCAAACACTAGTCATAAAAACAGTTAGCGAACATTGTTTCTGAATGCTTGTAAATCTGCTTAAGGAGATACTATAAAACCTTGAACTTAGAACTGACGAGTTTCAAAAAACTAGCAAAAAAGCGTTTAGGAAAGATACACTTTAACCAGCTGAAGCCCGACCACATTCTCATTAATGTACTTCTCAAACTCATTAATGATTCATCAAGTTTACAAAACGAAAATCATGACCGTGACTGTGTTTGGATATCTGATCTTAATTACCATAGATTTTTACAACTTTATTTCTCCATTTTCTCCTTAGATTTAGTTTCGATCGAGAAGATACATCAAACACTCAAGACAGTGTTTGACCACATTTCCAAACACCTCAAAGTTCGTTAAAAATACTCCGCGACATATCATATTTTCAACTCTCTTCTCGGTGTTTGGAAATGTGGTCAAACAATGTCTTGAGTGTTTGATATATTACACAAAGCACCATGACGTAATCCTGATATGTGTACTGTATCAGTACAATCATTCCTTAAACAAGACTATTCACCCACCTGAATCAACCATTGGATAATGACTGGTAACTGATGGCAGTCCCTCCGGGAACTCTCTGAGTTGTGGAGACCTAGCCAGCTGCTGCTGCTGCTGGTGGTGCTGTTGGTGATGTGGATACTGCTGTGGATATGGTTGTTGTTGCTGATAATGCTGTTGCTGCTGGAAGTGTTGCTGCTGTTGCTGCTGTTGCTGCCTAAGTTGCTGCTGCTGGAAACGAGGTGGAATGTCTCTTGGTGGGTGGTGATGAGGTCGTGAACCCCTTGATGCACTGGATCTAGAAGCATCACTGGATTCACTGTCATTTCTCTGCCTATTGACATGTTCTGGAAGCTCATTTCGAATTGAGACACCATCCTGTTGGTTCACTGCTAAGTTCTGCAGTTCAGAGTCTCTACTAGGACTTTCTGACATTCCTTGCTCATTCAAAGTGTCTTTACTACGAATATCTTTTTCAATGGAATCCAGTTCTTCTGCCCAAGCATCATCTCCTTCTTTTGCACTCTCCCTTCTCACCCTTTTTAATTCTAGTTCCTTAAGTTTGGCTGTTGCAGCTGCCTTCTGCTCTGCTTGTCTCCTTAATTCCTCTTCCTCTCGCCTTTTCCTAGCCCTCTCTACTGCAGCACGCATTTCCTCTTGCTGCTTTACTCTGCGTTTCTGCCATTCATTCACAACTGGTTCTTCTGACTTGGGTACTGATTGCCCTTGATCAGAACTAACTGGGGTAGGAGGATGAACTGGTTGCCCTCCTCTCTGCTGCACAGACAAATGTTGAGGGTAGGGCATTGGCCACCCTGGAGCAGGAGGAGAGCCTCTGCTTTCAAAGGGCCTAACTCCAGGACCTTGAGGAACTTGCCTGTTTTCAGAATAAGGATGGGGCGTCCCTGATGATTCAGTCCAGGCTGATCGTGCTGGAGGTGGTCCCATTTCTTTACCCTGTCACAAACAAGAGAAAAGTGATTACAAGGTTCTATCATTTATTTGAACTGCGAGGGAAAGGACCTTAAGCATTTTCACAGGCTTTACTTTTGCCCCTGAATGTGCTAGGTTCATGAAAATAGTGATCTTTCAGGTTGTACAGAAAACTGATGCACTACTAACAAGGGGTCAGAGGTACTAAACATTACAAGATTGTCTTCTATGCCTAGTGAGAACCCTGTTTATGTACCCATACTACCTTCAAGCATAAATGTAATGGTTTATTTCATTGAATTCATCACCATCTTTACAACATGGTATCAGACACCATTTATGTGAGATTTCATTGTATAAGCGACACTAAACTGTTTGTTTGTTGGTTTGTTTTTGTGAAAGGGAAAATGACATCACTTACAGTTCTGCCTTCATTGCTTTGCCATCTTGTTTCTGGTTCACCACTTGCAGTTTCTCTCTCAGGTTTAGTAGATGCTTCACTAGAAGGCTTTTCATCATCATCAAAGTCTTCAAAGTCCAGCTTTGCAGCGTAATCAACTTCATCCTGAGCACCAGCCCACCCGCCTTCCTCCTCTTCATCATTATCTGCCATTGCCTGTATATCTTCTGGTTTGAGGATTGCTGGCCTGCCATACCCTTCACCACGACCCATATCTGCAATCTTGCTGGCATGCATAGGTCCTGGACCACCTGGTCTGTGTCCTGGACCTCTGTAATAATTAATATACTGCAGTTGTAATCTTATGCTACCTCAAACCTTGTTTATGGGAACTAAAACAAAGATCGTATCCATTTTGGAGGCAGCAATGTCTTGACAATTCTGACAGGATTGGGCGATTCCAGAAAATATCCATACCTAACCATAGATGGCATCCATATTTTAAGCTCCCCTTACCTTTAGAATTTCCAAAATGCTCTATTCCCCATGCCTTCCAAATTCCGAAATCATTAACCCCTCTGCCCCCTCTCTTTCGGATTTCTGTTTTTTACTTCTGCCCCGTGGAATTCCTAATTTGAATCCCTACAACTTGCAATGATAAAGATTTTTCTACGGGGCTTGAAATTGTGACAGATATGATCGCATGCATTCATGACTAAATGTTTGGCAACCAAAACTTCCTTGTCTTCAATCACAATTTTTCGACATTACCAATGACATTCACTCGAACAGATGCAATTAGACCGGTTTCTTTATGAATATGTATTCCTGGCACATATTTTGCAGTGACTTGCAAACAAAGAGCTTGATGTATGACCTACGTTCTATCGGTTTTCTTCTGTCAACGAATGCAAATACATGCCTGATCGGTGCATGCCTTGTTTTCTGCTTTCATTGGTCATCAGCAGTGTCATCAGTGCATTCAGGAGTACACACTCTTGTCTGTCCTTTTCTGAACCCACCCCCTCAGTGCCTTCAGAATTCTAACTGCAAGTATCCCATGCCTTTGGAATTCAAGATCAAAGAACCCCCCTTGCCCTCAGAATTCAAAAAAGTCATTTGTGTTATAGGTATTGATGTTTTCTGGCATTGTCCATTCTTGCTTCAACACAACCTTATAGAAATGCCGGGGAACCTGTAACAGCCTTCTCCCCATTGAGGCGAGTAATAATTAAATAAAAATGCAAGAACCAGAAGAAATAATCTGGCTCCTTCAATCACCAACTTAACCTGTAAACCAGTTAACAAATATGAGGCAAGCTTACTGATAATATTTTTAAATGTACAAACTCAACAAATGTACATAAACAAGGGTGATGGTGGATTTACCCCGTTTGGACCCACTTACCCATATGAATATGGAATACACATCTTGTTAGTAATCTGACCACTGAAAGCATCATTTTATATTCACAGATACATTACAGTGACATAATCTGCTACAAACCTTGGGTGGTGATCTGGAGGATGTCCATGAGAATGCCGGCTTGGTCCATATCCTTGTGGTCCATTGCCATGGTGATGAGAAGGATAGCTGTGAGCAATGTTCTTTCCATGTGTACCATGCTACCAAGAAAAGAAACCATAACAATAAGCTTTGGACACTTGTACTACAACGTCTCAGTTCTAACGTTAATCTCTTATATATATAAGAGATGCCTTCAATGTACAGGTATCACCAGGGAAAATAAAAACTTTGTACTAACCTAACCACATTGCCAGCCTAAACTACATTGCATAACTGGACTAATTTATATATTACAAGAAGTTCACAATAAATGTTGTAACTTTCACATCAAAAGTATCAACAGTAATAAAACCATATCACTAATAAACCAGTTGCAAGTTCAAGAACATTGTACATAATTTGCATCTAATTTTCTAAAAATTCTTCTCTGCTGTTGAAGGACCTATAAATGCAGTTAAATGCAATTTAACGGAGTTAACAACAAAGAGCGCCAGTGTTGTCTGGAGTCAGCTGCGTTTCATACATGGGCATGTGCCAGATCCCATGTGCTCTTTGACTGAAGTGTGTTTAACGTTACAGGCGCTAGCGTGTTATTTGCGTGGCAGTTCATGGGACCTCATCTTCAAGGCTTCCTCCCTCCCCCCCATTTCCCTCCCTCTTTTCCACTGTTCACACAGTGTGACGGGTGCCTGCTCTCCCTTCTGCGTGGGGGCTCATGGCTGGCTTGCCAGGATTTGCCAGCCATGGGAGCAGTCTCCATCTAGGAGCTGGCTGCCAATAGTGGAAGCTCCTGGATATCACAGGCACCCAGCCTCCATTTTGCAATGCAGTTGTTAATCACTGAAAAAAACATTTCTGAGCTAGATGAATGTGTGAATGTCACAAAATTTCTGGTTGAAACTGTTTTTAAAAAATGTGGTCTTTTGTGAGCTATCAAAGATAGGGTTGTTTAGTCATGAACAAACTTGAGTAAAGGGCATAGGGTCTACATAAAGCAGCCTAGTAGACCTGGAATGGATGTCAGTGCTGTTACTCTTTTCTAGGTGACTTAAAATATTACATGCTTGTTTTTGTAACCAGAGATCTGGGAGGGGGCAGTGGTAACACCAAACAGCAACTTGATGTCATAGTGGCACACCTGAAGGACATGAAAACTTCCAAATAGGTCTGCAAAATAAAAAAATTCAAACCTGATAATCTGGAGGCCTCCTATATTGATGTCCTCCCCCATATCCAGGTCCTGGTCCCCCATTGTAAACATCTGTTCTTTCTCTTCCAGGCCCATAATCTGAAGGTGAGGGACCTGGCATACAAAATAATACTGTTTTCACCTATTTTTAACATTTACTGTCTCTCTTACTAAGATTTAGGGACAAACCCAAATTACATTTAGGAGCATTACTACATGACTTTCCTTGTGCATGTGTCCTTGACATATGGGAAATCAGTAAGATTACAATCATTGCACTGCTTCTACTTACTGAGCTCTCTTTTGTAATAAAACAAATGACCAGAATTAAAGGCTATGTGATGAAAGGTCAAAATAAATGTTACTTCAAGAAGTGTTGAAGACATCAGAAGTTCTGACACTAGAAAGGTACAAGATCATTACCTGGGCCACTGCGTTCCATCCAGGCAGGCTCGTCTAAAGTAAAAAAAGGCGGGCATTCAATACTTACAGGTACAAGATGTAGCAGATTTTATTGAATGTACACATCTTTAAGATTTTATATCAATTACTTTAATTGTTATAGTGGCATCAATACTCAAGGAAGTCAAGAATTCATCCAAAAGTTTTTATTTAGATGGCTCAATATGGTTCAGATATCATATGATTGTACGTGCATAACCTAAAAACCGCTCATTGTCCTTCAACATGTGTCGCGCACCAAAATCCAGCTAGCGGTCACCTCTTTCTCACCAAACGAATTTTGCCAGCAGCCAGCACTTAGTGACATCCCTGGGTTCCAACAGTGAAACCTGTATTAAGCGGACACCCTTAGGACCCTCAATAGTGTCCGCTTAATACAGGGTGTCTGCTCTAGACAGGTTCAGTAATACTAGTTAATTATTAACCCTTTTGTAACACAGTGTAACACAGTGTAAGGTCAAAGACTGCTCATAGCACTATGTCCAGTCTGTCACTGCATCAATCTGGAATAATTTAGATAGGTTTAAAACGACATCGATAAACAATATTAAAGGTGTCTGGGCTGAGTTCTTATAAGTAAAAAGCCCTTGAAGTGTATGTTCATTGCAGGTTTTGTGCTACAAAATGGCTTAATATTGGTGTCCGCGTCCGCTTAATAGAGGTGTCCGCTGAACGCAGGTGTATTTTACAGTAAATGTGGGAAGAATATTTAGGGACTCAAGCTGGTGTCCACTTAATAGAGGGTGTCCGCTTAATATGGGGTACGCTTAATACAGGTTTCACTGTACGGCTATCTTATGATCCAACTCTGCTCAGTGCAGGTTCCAAGTGGGTTCTCTTATTATAGCTTATCACACTTCTCCAATAACAAGCCATTGTTCTTGGCAGAGGTCTAGGCAACAAAAGAGAAACACCAGAGAAATTTATCACTGCATGGCCAAGTTGGCCATCTGTGGTTGTGTAAACTAATCCAGGAGAGCATTCTGAGGTCACTCAGCCAAATGCCAAATGGTTTCAAAATTAAATCTCTGACACTGAAAATAACTTTTGCACCAAGGTATATCACGTACTGCCATCAGAAAACAAAAACACCTAGTACCAAACCTTAGTTATCTTGAGTAAATTCACTCAGATAGTTATTCCTTAGAGCAGTTTTCAATTGAGTGTCAAAAGTAACCAGGCAATTAATTTGGTTTGGAATTACTACGGTTTGAGATTGGGTGAGTAGTCTAATTGGTAAGTAATTGGTTTGGTTTTGGTTTTATGACACTCAATGAATGAGTTGCCAGTAGCCAGATACTTGTGTTTGCGCCAGGGGATCTCCAGGGGATCGCCAGGGGGCAAACATTGCAAGTCGCCAGAAGGAAATGTATGGCGAAAAGTCATTTCTACACCCAAAAACATGGTTTTGGGGAGAGATCAACACTTTTTTGCCGTTGTTTTATTGCAAATGGATTTTGGCAATGTTGATACATAGAAAATGTAAGTTTTTGTTTGAATAACCATGAAACAAGTAATAAAATTTACCGATAAACTCCCTTTTGCTTGCGGGAGGTTTATTGTGAAATACATTGAAGAGGATATTGAAAATTTCAATACATGCCTGATCTACTACCCTGAGGCTACCTGGAGCAAATGGTCAAAAAGACCCTCCAAGAAGTTAAATATAAAGACAGAAAAGTAGCTCCAAAACAGAAATCGAAAATTGCAGAAGGAACTACATTGTACTACCCTTTGTGTCGGGCAATTTCACTCAACCGTCAATACCAAACTTTGGAAAGCATAATCACGTACAAATGGCACTTTTAAATACAAACACTCAGAGATATATTCAAGGAGCCACCTGTGATCTGTTATAGAAAAGGAAAATCACTGAAATACGTACTTGTAAAAGCAAAACAAAGGCTTTGAGCAACACAGTAGCCACACAGCAAGAGTCGCACGGACTCATTTGTCATTAAATCAACCCCAGACAGTGCAATGATCGCCACCAGGCTTATTTCCAGTATTATTTGTATGACTGAGCTTTCAAATAAGCCAAAAGTAGCCCGCACACAACTTAAAAGGCTTTACTGGGTTATTTCCTCTCGATTTAGACCTAGTTAATTTGGTAATATTTTCCGACCATAACGCGATGTAAATTTCACAATAAACCTCACAAAAGCAACAGAGTTTATTGGTAAATTTTGTCACATATTTCAGGGTTATTCAAACAAAAACTTACATATTCCATGTATCAACATTGCCCAAATCCATTTGCGATAAAAACAACGGCGAAAAAGCGCTGATCTCTCTCAAAAATCGTTTTCTTGTACCTCAAAACAACTTTTTGCTATACATTTCCTTCTAGCGACTAACAATGTTTGCTCCCTGACGATCCCAGAGTTCTTCGCGCAAACACAGGTATCTGATTACTGGCAACTCGTTCATTGAAAACCGCTCTAAAAGTACAGTATGTATTTTCTTGGTACAAAACAATAGGTGGAGCCATGCCAACTTACGCATGTTGCGCATCATAGGTCTCTGACCATGCTGTGTGGGAGGGGGATCCTTTCCTTCCATGTGTGGTGGCAACCTTTCCACAGAGTTTCCACCACCCAACACTGGGAATTCCCGATTGAAATATGGCATCTCCTGGTGAGAGTAGGACTTCCCTACAGAAATAAGTTAAAAAGTTATCAGTTACTAATGGACAGTGTACATGTAACAATGGTAAACCAGATCCAATAAGAAAACAGATAAGAGTTGACATGTTT